CACTGTTTACAATCACATCCCTGGTACAGTCAGAGGGACAACCTCTTTTACACATTTTTTGTTCTAAGAGGTTGATCCACATCTCTGTCCATGAGAAAAGAAGTTTGGGTTCGTTTTTTTTTAAACGTATATTTTTAGGATTATCTTTAAACATAAAAATATCTTCTTTATGCTCCCACGCGTATTTCCCCACAGACTTTTAATAAAGAAATTGCTTAAATGAATACCTTAACCTAGAAAAATACACACAAACCAAACATGAAGAAACTACTCACCTGTAGCACAGAGCCCTGCTGCAGCTGCAGGGCGCACTGCCTAACCCTCCCACAACAGCAAAGTCCAGGCAGGATGGGAATGGGGAAGGTGCTGGGCAGGGGCTGGGCACACCCTGCCTGGCTGCACACCTCCCCAGGGCCACTGGCACCCCAGGGTGGCTGCGGGAGCAACAGACAACTGTCCCTGCTCAGCAGCAACTGGCTTTCCCGGGAAGCCCGAAGCACGCACCTCCGGCCTGGTAACTATACCGACCCCTCCCTGGGACAACATCTAGTGTCCGTCTCGGCTCAGGCTGCGAGTTCTCCAGGATGGGGATTATTCTTCCATGTAAAGGCCCTACCTTGATAATTCGCACGATCGCAAATGAATTCTAGTAACACTGGGTGATGTAGAAGGAAAGCAGGGATTTCCTCATATCACCTTTGGTATTTTTTCTTGGGAGAGATTCTTCTTCCAGCATACCTCTAACTCATAGCATCTATAAGGCTAACAAAAAAGTAATAAAAGCAAAAAAAAGCAGAAGCAGAAGGGAAGCAGAGTAAGAAATACATTCTCATACACAGTTTACCAATGTGAATTCTACCCAGTTTTAAAGACTGGAAAATCGGCAACTTCAGTTCAGCGCGGAAGGGGTGAAACATTGGTTTCGGGTAGTGGACTGGCAAAGAGTTCACCTCAACTCTTCTGTTATTACTCTTGCTGACTCTATTTACACGGGAGGATATTACTCTTTACATGAGTCCCAGGTGACAGAAGAAAAGTCTTGCTCATCAAGGCAATAAACTATATTGCTAATTTAGGGACAGTGTTTTGCTGGCCAGGGCATGCACAGATGGCCTGGCTTTCACAGCAGGGCTGGGATGTATTTTCATTGCAACACAAGAAACGAAATAGATCAGCCTTATCTTTCGTCTTACATCTCAGTGTGAGTGACAGCGCAAAATTAATTACTTCTGTAATTTACTGCTCTAGAGACTATTGCCTTTGCATGTGTACAAATTCTCAAATTATTATCAAGCTTTAAATTATTTGCTTCATTAAGTTGCAAGGTTGTAAAAGGTGAATACATTTGTTCCAAGTTTCCTGATGGCCAAGCAGGGTGTTTTATTTCCTTTCATTAACTCCATGGCTTAACATCATGGAGATGAACAGACAAATAGGAGCAAAACCAAGAAGGAACTCCTGAGTTATCAGGTATGACCAACAGTTGTGCTTTAAAGCTACACAACACTTCATGAATAACGCTTAGATTATGGACTTGAGTTAATCATAACCTCCCAGATCCGTGGTTGCTAACAGCCACTGCCTGGAGGAAAACAGTTAAAATTCTCCACACCAGCACTGTTGTGACACTGTCAGGTACCAACAGTAGAGCTGTTCCTCCCACCAGTTTTAGTTCAATCACCTACATAGAGAATATTTGAGAAAACTAAATTTGTCACATCACAAGAGCTCTTGGCTGTGCTAGTATCACAGAGGACTGGTTTGAGGACATACACTGGTGGCGGTGGAGATGGGACTGCCCAGTTCTCGTACCTGTTTTTCTACAAACCACTTTGCCAAGGACTGAGAAAAGTAAAGTAGGTACAAGTGTACTTCGAATTACTGGAAAGCAGTGGTATTTGTGCCAAAACCAACTGCTTACTTCAAGTTACGCTTACACTTCATTTTTAAAATAAATAAATTAATAAATAAATAAACCAAATAATCTCTGCTACCTCCACATACTGCCTTACTACGGAACTTAGTGCATAGTGTCTGTTTTGCCTAGCATGAATAGCCATATTAACATTCCTGCTGCTATAACTGGAACAGATTTACATCACTAACTCCAAGTCCTACAAAGGTTTTAGCAGTGATTTATATTCCCAAAACTGATCCAACAGAGACCAAATAACCAATTAGATTTAATGAAGTTTAAAAACAAATTGACCCCTGCAAGGTGAGGCATTAAAGCGCCAAGCTCAGAACTAAACCAAGGAACGGCCAGCAGTGCTGCAAAGCAAGCAGTAGGTGGCAGAAAGCGTCTACTGAAGTGTAATTCGGAATAATCAGCCAGAGAATTCTCTCTGCTGCTAGAAGCCCAACAGAACAGCACAACTGCACACAGAATAAAACCAGATAAAATATTCTGTAGCCGTTTTCTAAAAGGAAACAAATATTTGTCTTATAAACACGGCAAAGCTACCACCATCAGTGAAAAACCCAGATTTCACTGGATTAAAAATTGTCTTACGTGAAGTTGTACAGTTATTAGGTGGGGGAACCCATCCAGGCTAACAATAGCAAAGATAAAAGCACAAGAAACCAAGATTCCTCAAGTAGCAATGGTAATTCCTAGACCTGTAGAATCTTACAAAATAAAAATTCAGAGTTACTGCACAGTTAAGTTTCTTCTGCTGCTACAACTTGATGGGTTAAAAACAAGTGAGTACACTTGTGAGAAACCGTACAAAACCCAAACTGTTTTGTTCTAAAGCTCTCATTTTATCTGTTTCTAAAAAAAAAAAAAAAAAAAAAAAGGTGCAGCTAGCTGCATGTCGTCATGTGGATGGAATAAAAACACGGCAAGAAAATGCCTAACACTACCACATTTAGCTATGTGGTAAGTAATTTTTTATAAAATCAAGCAAGGCTAAACATATACAATAACAGAATTAGTCACTTTAGCTGTGCTTATTAATGCAAGCATGCAATTTTGGGTGCCAGTATTGTTAATCCAATGCAGCATCTACTTTTTATGCATTAAGACACAGGAAGAACAACATCCTATGCAGATAGTGAACTATAGTTTTGACTGAAATAATTTAAAAGCTCATTAAGAAATAAAAAAAAAAGTTACGTAAACTGACCCCCTATATATATTAAGTAATTTTTTCTGCTTTATTACAGAAAGGTCATTTAGTCAAATTAGTTCTCCATTCATACAAAAACCAGATTTTACTACAATTTAATGGGCAAAGTTATAAATTACATTTTTATGTATGTGAATATGATTCCTCAGGCAAGCACTGCAAGCTTTTATTCCTTTGGTCAGAAATTATTCCAAAGAAACACTGAAATACGCAATTGCAAAAGCATCAATTTCTATGCTTAGAATTCTGTATTTTCAGTAAAAGTAGCCATGATTTTTGAAACAAAATAAAAAAAAACAACACACAGTTCTTCACAGAAAGAGATCACAACTCGAAACACTGAACTAGATTCTAGATGAGGGAACACCAATCAAGAAATACCACAGGAATTTTAATCCCAATTTGGATACCAAGGCATCTAGTTTCATGTTGTACTTTAATAAGAACTGTTTGAATTCCCGAAATCTAAGTTTGAAATTACATGACAAAATTAAATACTTAGACAACATTTACTTATGTACATTCTGCTCCAAAACTGGACTGTGGAAATTCTTTACATTTCTCTTAGAAATACATACAAACCATAGCACAGGTTAACAATCCACTGGCAACTGAGTCACAAGTCAGCTTAAAGGAAAAATACCCGTGGAAAGTTTCAATCTATTACCACTTCAGTAACAGCATTTCAGTGTCTCTTCAGACTGCTTTAAGTAGTTTCTTCTCCTTGCTGCAAAACCTGATCCCAGTTTACCTTGCATGTTGGATGACTACTCGTTAAGAGTACCTCTTTCACAGAAGATGATGACAAATATTAAGAACAGGAAATTAGGAGTTCAGAAAATTACAATATGAAGAGTCCAGGCAGGTGTACACTGTACAGATCATCTAAAACGGAAGAAAAAGTAAAATTGCCTGTGCCCCTCGGAGACCTTACCACACATATTTTATGGAAAACTTTACATAGCTTACCCTTCATCTTACTTCAAAACACACCACTTACGTTACTACCTAAAAAATAACACATAACTAGTTTGTTAGACTACAGGAACAAATAGTTTAAAGCTCTTTTACCAGTCTAGGCAACATGTACATTCATTTGAATGGGAGTTCACACCAAGTGCTGCAAGAAAGCAATTACATTCAGAGAAACGGGTATCAACCTCCATTCCACATTTATCATCAGTATACACTAACAATCATCAATTTAGGCGAGGACAGCACAACAAAAATTCTCTTACATAGCCCTGAAGTGCCAACGAATCATTTGTTAAGGAAAAAAATTAAATGCAGTAGTTTTTCCCCACAGGTAACTGAATTTCACATGAAGTGGCAATTGTTTAGTTTCGGTTGTGTTTTGTCACACAAAGTGAAGAAACTAGAACTTCTAATCCCATGTGAATCTGCTTAGACCAGACAGACTTCCTGTTGAACCATTACAGAAGCAACAGTTCCCTGGTTTGACTCAAATGCTTGTGGAAGCAAAAATTCATTAATCTTTACACTGTGCATGCATCAATTTTGAGAATCTTTAGTGTTCTGCTTCCCGCCCCGAACCCATTCAGCTGGGAACTTATTCAGAAGTTACTTTAAAGCTGTTCTCAACTCACTTGATGACAAAAAAATAAGACTGCTGCAATAAAGTGAGCTTTCAGGCAAATACGCTGGAAGTTTTTTCAGTTCAGAGATGGACGAAAGTCAGTATTTATGAACCGGGGTGTCAAAAAGAGATCCCAGCTGCCTGAATCAAAGCAGCTTCAGAGACACAGGCGGCCACTGAAGTCCAATGACGAGAGCCGAACTTTAACTAGCATTCTGCATTTTGTCTGAAAAACATGTATTTGGTGACTGGCATACCTCTCGGAATTCCAAACACAGAAGAAAAAAATGGGTAAGTATTTAAAACTGTGATGCCTAAGTCCTCCTATATACATAAAAAAAATTAACTTACATTATAATAATATCAAACTGCATAGCATTACAAAAGAAGGCAACTTGAACGGCTGAAATTGAAAAAAAAAGGGATGTTACCAACCCTATTATTACCATTGTGGAATTCATAGTATCAGAGAGTAGACTGTTGCTAGTAACAGCTGTAGCCCAGTTTAAGTAAACTTTGCCTTAATTCCAAAGAATGCAGAAATGATTAATTTGGACAAGCTGTTGCATGCTCTGCTTTCACGTCCTCCTAGCAGGTTTTGCTGTTAACTGCTTCTCTCTTTCAAGCTCCTTCTCACGTTGCTGTTCTCGTTCTAGTTCTTCCTTCTGCCTCTTTTGTTGCAGCTTAAGTGCTCTTTTCTAAACAGAAAAGACAAGAAAATAATTCTAAGTTTTATACCAGTATTTAAGTTGGAGCTACAAACAAAATCCCTCCCATTCTCTTAACATTATCGTCTCAAATCCACGCTGCTTATGACTGAATGTTGCATAAACTGTTCATTTCTTCTTCCTCCTTCCCACTTCCAACTTACCATTCAGAAACGGCAAGTCTGTGATCGACGCACGGAAAATACAAACTGGATTCCCTTAAGTCTCACAAAGTCATCCTCTGTGTACGCCTGACAAGGTGCATACTGTACCATTTACTGCTCCATGAGAAAATCCTTTTGCTGATAATACCGAAGGACTAATCTTGCCAGAATGTAACCAGAGACTGCCTATATAGCATAAAGTCAGTGAACTTGTGCCACTGCTAATAGTACATTAGATAGAAGCAGAAATTCCTACATTTATGACAATCTAATTTTCATTAAAAAGGCACAGAAACTAAAACAACAAGAACTCGTTGGAAAGGAGTGGATTAAACGACAGAACAAAGCATGACTCTTGTATCACCTAAACATTACGACGTCACTGAGAGTTACCAGTAGTTCAGATGCCTAAGTTGCTTGAGCACGGGTAGGAGTAAGTGAAAGTTTAGAAACACACATGGCTTGGCGCTACTGAAAACAGCAATTTAAGACAAGGACTGAAGATTCTATTTTAATCAGAACTTTCAGCATGCATCCAAATTAAAAGCTGGAAGTCAGTAATACCTAATTAAATATCATGTTGGAAAGTAAAAATATTTATCCCACTCACTTTTAACTTTGACGTCTTCTCATGGAGCATCATCATTTCATTTCTAATATTCACTAACTTGTTGTGATAGTGTTTAGCTTCTGAAAACTTAAACATAACCATTGAAACAGTGACTGTCAAGTTGGAGTAGTTGCTCTTTAAAACAACACAGCAAAACAGCAATCAAAAACATAGTGATTACCAGAACAGTTTGATAATAGATTAAATGTTAGTTATATACACAGAAGTTATCTATAAATTTACATATTACATGCATTAATATAGAAAATGACCATATCTCAACAGGTACACCCAGTAATCTCCTGAACCAGGATTCATTAAACAGAATAACAGAATTACCACTCTATGCACCGCATACCAGTGTTTCATGCACCCTTCCTGCTAGCCTGGAGAGGTGCACAGAGCTCATGTTGGAGTCTCAGTCCTACCAAATAAATGGCATACATCTGCTTCAGCTACTAGTTTTGAACAACTAGACTTAGTACCACTGGCTGACTGAGCCTGCTCTTTCTTCCCAGTGCCCTTCCCAGTTAAGGGAAATATGCTGGTTCCACACCCTCTCCAGCAACAATCTGTCCCAACTATCTGAACTGGTTGGTTCTCTTCCTGTAGGTCATTAAGAACAAGGAAAATGCACAAGTTGCTACTAATGCTTCAGCAAGAAAATCTACACTAATAGAGATTTAAGTAAGCATTAATAGTACTTACCAAAGCATTGATATCAAGAATGGAGTTACACTCTCTGAATTTTGAAATTTCTTGTTCTAATGTTTCTAGTAATACCACTTGGTTCTGTCTGAAAAAAAAAAAAAAAAGATGCAGAAAACCGAAGTAAAGCAGCACATATGCTTTTCAACCAGCTCTTTAAATAAATACTATTGATCTTAACAATATAAATACATGCTTCCCAATATCAGATTTCTCTTATGCATTGCTAGGCTATTTCAGTAGAGACCAGAGTAAATGGCTTTAGAAGAATCCCAGCTGAGTACACACAAATGCAGCTGGCAGCATACAGCATGGATATCCAGGATGAACATCCAAAAACCCCGAACAGGTACTCTGCAGGTTGCGGTGAGTAAACACCCCAGGCTGAATGAAGGGAAAAACAATTAGCTCTTGGTGCTTCCACTCAGGTGCCTCTGCGTCAGGCTGCAGGACTAAGTTACTTCTGTACGGAACTTGTGTGGATCCTTGGTGCTTATGAAGGATCCTCCATCCCACACAAATCAGCTGAAGTCTTTCCAGACGCAGGCTGTCCTTGGCAGCAGCATGACCACATTATGCACCCTGAAACCCAAACCAATGTACCCTGCAAAACCTGAGGTGGATCTGTGTAAGGCCCTTTCCAGGGTCTCTGCATCCATGGCAGATCTAGCCTGCATTTGAAATAAACTTTTTTCCATTATCAGTGAGATGCCAATGTACAAAGAATTCTTATCTGTTTAGCTCCTTAATTATATCTTTTGCAACACAGTTTAGAGACTGGACAACAATATACTGCACTACAAGCTGCCCTGAATATGAACTGCATCTTTGCAAGCAAAATAAATCCAGCTTTCAGCACTTTCCACTACAAAAGTGAACAAGTATTTAAGAAATCGACATGTCTTCTGCTATACCTGGCTTAAGGGATTTTAGTGTTCTATTGTTACACATTCTTCAGTGAAAGTTCTGGTAGGCTACACTGCAGCTTATACACCCCCCAGCACTCCCACAAATCACTTAACTATTCAGGATGCTATGGTCAGACCACAGAAATGCTACAATAAACTATACACCAGTTAAGGTTAGCTAGAACATTATATGGGAAAAAATGGCAAACCAAGCATGCCCGTACAAGAAGCTGGTTTTGAAAACTTGCTTACGTAAGCTCCTGCAGTGCTGATTTTGATCGCTGAAGATCGGGCAGATAATGAGAAATCAATCCTTCAGTTAGCTGCTCCACAGCTTTCTCATCTATTAAAGGCAGATCATCTACTACTCCTTCATCTGGAGACGCATCGCTAGGACCTACACCAAAGAACAGCAAGGTTGAATGTGACAGGTCAGCACGCACTTCAAGTTTCACCTATGCCAACTGTATTTTCCTGTTTAAAAATTAAAAGCATTTCAACACTTAAGTTCTAATTCTTTTCACTTTATCAACTAAACTGTGCTTCCATTTTCCTTCCCCTTCATCCCTCCCTTATTCCCAATCCTGTATTATGAGCTTCCTGGGGAACAGTTTTATCTGCACACCAGCAGAACAGAAAGAGGGAAATAAGAGTATCCCAAAGACATCTTATGAAAAAAATTCCAAGTACTGCAGTCTACTGAGGAAAAAAAGGGGCAACATCAGTTGTTCCAGCTATGCATCAAGAATACCTAAGCATCAACACGCTCCCACCCTTTGCTTTCAAAGTCACAGAATAAACCTAGGCCTCCAAATAAAGGCCTTAGCCGGTCACTCCAAACACACGAAGACCTCATTAACCACCACACACTGAACTCCCGAAGTTTGCAAGAGTCGGTTAAGAGTTCCTGTGAATTTCGTACGGGCAAGCTATGACTACCTATTGCGTGCAGAGCTCTTGGAAAACAAAAAACGTTAATCCAAGGGCCACAGCGCACAGAGGAGAACGACGGCGGCGGCGGCATGCGCTCCGTTTCCGAGGGACCCCCCGCACGGCCTCTCACCGCCCTCCTCGGGGGCGAGCGGCGGAGCCCGGGCCCGGTCTCACGGCGGCGCGTCCCGCTCCCCGGGGCCGCTCAGCTCTCCCCGGGGCAGGGGCCGGCCCCAGCCCCCT